TAAACGGTCATATTATTATTGTATCCAAAAAATAGCTCAAGTTGTGATTTTATTCGAGGTAGTTAGGCACACGGGTAATAAGGGCTATCAATAAAAATATGTGATTTTTCATATGTGTGTAAGAAAAGGCTTTTGTTTTTCTGAAAATAGGAGGTAGTTCGATTAAATTAGATTAAATGAACGTTCTCGAATTTTAGGTGTAAATTTAAAGTCTTTGTTTCATTTCAAAAAGTTATATATATATATTATTTTTGGGGTTATTTAACAGACGTCGCATTTCTTTGCGATCATCTGATTTTCTCGGACCCATTTTTTTCTACCTATTCACTGGTAGCCTAAGGGGCTATTTCAGCCACGCACACGTTATGCCCTAGCTTTAGTTAAAGCAGTGCTTCGTAGAATCTACTACTGGATCGGAATCACGACTCACCGAGAAGACCCGGGTCTCGGAAGAACCGTATACCTTCACCCTTACACGTGGCTCTCTCTTCTTGATCGTTCCCTCACTGCTGAGGATCGCGACCAAATGTGACTTTCCTCCATAGTGTTCGATCATGGGTGGCGTGGACCGTATGGTATAGACTACCGCCAACCGCTTTCTTAACCAGATCTGACCATCTGGCTGGTGTTGTGCCCACGGCGCGCTTGCCTTTTATGTGACCCTAAATTATGAGCTTCTCTAATTCATGTCTGGGAGACCGCATGATGTGTCCGAAGGAGCTCATAACACGTTCGCGGCTGGTTGCACGTAATTTGTGACGCTTATGTCCACTACCACATATTGCTGTATGACATTGCGTATAAGCAGACATTTAATTACAAATTTAATTACAAACAAACAAAAAAAAAACAACACAAATCTAGGGCGACACACACTAGGAAGTCATTGAAAAGCAAATATTATTTACCTTGACTCACAAAGTAATTGATAAAAATCGTTTGATAAGATAAAAGTTTCACAGCTGATGTTAACTTATCATTAATAGCGACCCGCCCTCGCTTCGCTTCGGAAACATTAAAACACACATGAAACCAAAAAAAAAATAAAAAAAAAGTAGCCTATGTTCATCAGGGACAATGTCGGCTTCTAATGGAAAAAGATTTTTTCAAATCGGTCCAGTAGTTACGGAGCCTATTCGAAACAAACAAACAAACAAATCTTTCCTCTTATAATATTAGTATAGATGTATTATGCATATTGATATTTTATCATACAGGTACAGGTAGATAATGATTGTTGGTTCAGTAAACATGTCTTGTAATGTTTTGGCAAAAAGGCCTTGGCTGGCTGTGAAGTGTGGGGAAATTAAAAGGTGGTGGCTGTATACTTAGGACAATCGTACTATAGCGGTAGAGACGTTATCCTTGACGTTTAAGTTGGGCGATTGCATTGATCAGGGTTCGCTTTTTTTTTATTGCTTAGGTGAGCGGACGAACTCACAGCCGAACTGGTGTTAAGTGGTTACTGCAGCCCATAGACATCTACAACGTAAATGCGCCACCCACCTTGAGATACAAGTTCTAAGGTCTCAGTATAGTTACTTTTTTTTTTTATCCTACCTATGCTGATAGCCTTGAGAGGCTATTCCAGCGTAACTTTAACTAGTAGGTGAGCTCACGGGGCTCAAACCTGACGACGTTGCTAATACGAACCCTAGCAAGAGCAGTGCTTCGCAGAATCTACCACCGGATCGGAAACGCGACCCACTGAGAAGATCCGGCGAGAAACTCAGTGGGCTGTGTCTGAGGGTTAATTTACTCGTCGAGCCCTTCGTCGCAAGCGACGGGTTCGACGAGAACGGTGACCGGTGCTTGAAGTACCTAAAAGCACCGTTATATAGTTACAACGGCTGTCCCACCCCTCAAACCGAAACGCATTACTGCTTCACGGCAGAAATAGGCAGGGCGGTGGTACCTACCCGCGCGGACTCACAAGACGCCCTACCACCAGTAAAAAAAGCTTAAAAGTGGTGTGGTTCGTTGGCTCAAAATAAATCTTCACCCTAACTTGCCCATAAAAGCTTGATACGTGGTTTCTATATCGGCTGCTACTAAATTCAGTCGTTGACAGCCGTGGTTGATACGATGAGTGATAAATTGACCTTTACCGCGTATATGTCTGTATGTGTACTACACGGATAACCTACACGTGACCTTTTGCTTCATAAAATGTTATCGCCGCCAAACGAGTACGAGAATAGACTTTTTTTTTTATTTCCGTTCTAAACGCTTTAGGGCTGTGAAAACATTAAATAAACAGCTATTCTGAAAGTATTGTTGTTATTGGTGGTAGGGCCACATGTGAGTCCGCGCGAATAAGTACCACCGCCCTGCCTATTTCTGCCGTGAAGCAGTAATGCGTTTCGGTTTGAAGGGTGAGGCAGCCGTTCTAACTATACGGAGACTTTAGAACTTGTATCTCAAGGTGTGTGGCGCGTCTACGTTGTAGATGTTTATGGGCTCCAGTAACCACTTAACACCAGGTGGGCTGTGAGCTCGTCCACCCATCTAAGCAATAAAAAAAAGTATAAATTTAGAAGAAAAATATTTAAATTAACACAAATATCTGTTAGCCATTCTTTTTCACGTTTAAATTATTTTAACTTTTTGTTCATCATATGTGGTGTTTCAATGTCATATTCAAAAAAGCTATTCCATTCTCTTTGTATTTTACACTTCACCTCATATAGTATATGTATATATGTATTATAGATAATTTATTATTATTATTATTTAAATAAATGTATAATGAGTGGTGGCATTTGCCTTGCCTTACTCTGTGATGTCTATGGACACCGGTTTTATATCGGGTTGATAGTGAGCAGACACGCATCTAAGCCAATTATACAAAAACATTGCAACTACTATGATGAATAATGAAACAATGTCTCTATCCGACCCTGTTTACTCTATATGAATCTCTGCCAGTAATTTTCATTATCTGTTATTACAACATTGTATTTTAAAATCAGTAATACACTTTGATTCAGCTGCAATTATTAACATCAAATTGACAGGCATTTCGGATCTTATGCCAATCCCTAGCCGGATAACTGGCTGTTTTTTTATTTGTCACAATCCGCAGCTAAACGCGACTACATTACGTGGAACGTCATTTGGGACCAAGAGAAATGACTATCTCACCTTAGATGATACACTACTGATATGATACATAATTCTATGTAATCGATTAGATATTATGAATTTAATTTAAGATCTCAGACTCATAATCACTCAAAATCAGACTTATAAAATTCCTTACGAATTTTTTCATCATCAGTGTCCAGTAGCCCCTTTTTAACGATTGATGATGAAGAGAGGATAGATATCAAATAGGCCCAAGATGCTTTAAGGCGTTTAAAATGTTTCTAATTAGGCGTCCAAGCGGTCAGTATCAAAAAATAAACTCCTATATGTATAAGACACATTTTTTAATTTAAAATAAGATATGTTTTATATTTTATGCATTTAATGAGATTTTTATTTATTAATTAATGAATAAAAAAAAATTAAAAGAAAAAATTTTATTGAATGTGTATATTTTTTTACGAACATTTGTATATTGAATTTATACTTTCTTTATTCATAAGAAGTGTTTCTAATTATATGACCACCGCTGTATATACTTATGTATATTTAAATAATATTACAGTAAGTGTAGGTTTCGAAAAAAATACATTTCCGTTCTTGAATGGTAGTATTATGATATGATAATGTAATATAACATTTATCGCTTGGTCATAATAGCTCGGCATCACACACAAGCTCACAAATGTGTGTATAAGTTTGATAACAAAAATGTATACAAAAAGTGGATAAATTATGAACAAGTTGCCTTCTAATACAACCTACACTTAATGATGGTCGCATGTAGCAATTGTTCAGGAAACATTGAGGATCCACAAGTCACCATTCATCAGCAGAAGCAAGTCGTCATTGGCATGGAATGCATCATTCATTTATTGATAACTAGCTTTTGCCGGCGACTTCGTCCGCGTGGAATAGTTCACAAATAATGCTTTATTTTAGAACAAATTTGGTTACCATAAAAAACGTTATAGTGAGCGAACCTTAACGTATAGACATATGCTGTCGCGGACTTTTTTTTAGATCTTTTAAAGGGGAACAATTCTGTCATACATTATTTTAGCGAAATTTTAACCGTTTCTGCAGCGCATGCAGCGGAAGCTCTCAAAAGGGAAGAAATCCCCGATTTTGAAACATTCTTTATTAGGCTCTGCTTGTATTGGTTTTAGCGTGACGTTATATAGCCTTCCTCAATAAATGAGCTATCTGACAATGAAAGAATTCAAATCGGACCAGTATTTTCTGAGATTAGCGCGTTCAAACAAACAAACTCTTCAGCTTTATAATATTAGTATAGATTACGCATTATGATAATAACCATCTTATCTTTTTTTTTATTGCTTATATGGGTGGAAAAGCTCACGGCCCACCTGGTGTTAAGTGATTACCGGAGCCCATAGACATCTATCTACAACGTAAAGGCCGCCACCCACCTTGAGGTAAGAGTACATTCCCGATCCTGCAGACAGAATGGAAAGCAGTCGACGTCGCCCAAAACACGTCATCTCGGATCCTCCCGATTCACTAACGGTGCTTTTAGGTACTTCAAGCACCGGTCACCGTTCTAGTCGAATCCGTCGCTTGCGACGAAGGACTCGACGAGTAAATTAACCCTCAGACACAGCCCACTGAGTTTCTCGCCGGATCTTCTCAGTGGGTCGCGTTTCCGATCCGGTAGTAGATTCTGCGAAGCACGGCTCTTGCTAGGGTTCGTGTTAGCATCGTCGTCAGGCTTGAGCCCCGTGAGCTCACCTACTAGTCACGGTTACGCTGAAATAGCCTCCCAAGGCTATCAGCTTAGGTAGGAAAAAAAAGAGGTAAGAGTTCTAAGGTCTCAGTATAGTTACAACGGCTGCCCCAATTATCAATTAATTGATGACTTATAACAAAATGTATCGTTCCGTTATTTTCAGGTGATAGTAGAATCACATAAAGAACTCCGTTGTCCAGAATGTCGGATCCTGGTCGAAACGAAGGTCGAGGACTTGCCTCCGAACGTACTCCTCATGAGGATACTCGAGGGTATGAGGAATTCAGCGCCGAAGAAGGTGGTCGGCGTCGGACAGCGGATAAGAGCGGGACATCTCCAAGTAAGTTAATGAATTCATCTATTAGATTATGTTTAGTACTTTTTTTATTTATTGCTTTGATGGGTGGACGAGCTCACAGCCCACCTGGTGTTAAGTGGTTACTGGAGCCCATAGACATCTACAACGTAAACGCGCCACCCATCTTGAGATATAAGTTCTAAGATCTCAGTATAATTACAACGGCTGCCCTACCCTTCAGACCGAAACGCATTACTGCTTCACGGCAGAAATAGGTAGGGCGGTGGTACCTACCCGCGCGGACTCACAAGAGGTCCTACCACTAGTAAACAAAATGTACTGGAAAATGGGCTCAGAATATGTGGTATTATAATTGAACGATGGTGTAAATGACTTTTGTAGCGTCTTTTCTGATGATCGCAAAAGTTTTTAAGGAGAAGATAAATGTAGTTTTAGTTCATCTATAGCTAACTATTATACACAAAAAAGAATACCCAGTGACAAACCAACGAGAAAAGGGCATTGAACTTTTGTTTTTGCTTATATAAACTCGTATAGATAATTATGTTAACGTCTTCAGGGACGATTTGTTTAAAGTACAAATAAACATGTATTTAGTTTATTCTTTATTGCGATTTGCTTATTCGGATAAGTAAAAAAAATCTGTCCAATTAAGTATAAAAAAAATTATAAATAAAAAAAAGGTATACATATGGGCCAATGTTGCTCCAAAGGTTTAACAGCTCATATTGAAACCAATAAAACAAGAAATTTATATCGTCATTTGACTACCGTGACTTTGTCCGGTCATCGTTCTCGTCGAGCCCTTCGTTGCAAGCGACGGTTTCGACGAGTAAATTAACCCTCAGACACAGCCCACTGAGTTTCTCGCCGGATCTTCTCAGTGGGTCGCGTTTCCGATCCGGTGGTAGATTCTGCGAAGCACGGCTCTTGCTAGGGTTTGTGTTAGCGACGTCGTCAGGTTTGAGCCCCGTGAGCTCACCTACTAGATAAGGTTATGCTGATATAGCCTCTCAAGGGTCTCAGCTTAGGTAGAAAAACAAAGTGACTTTGACTGGACTTTGTGTTTAAGAACAATCTCGCATGCATCCTGCACAGCTTACAATTGATTGAATGTGATGCATGTTTTTTTTAAATTGCGCTTTGATTCCAGGTACAGCAGGGATCTCTCTCAGCACGTGACGGTAAACAGTTACCGCCACACGCCAGAGCCGTGTACGATTACATTTCCAAGGAGCCTGGGTGAGTACAGTGAGAAAAAAAGTTAATAATAACTATAAAAATGTACGGTCATCCGTGTGCTTAGTGCGAGTTTTTTTAACGTTCTCGATAGCGTAAAAGTTAACTCAAATTTGTATGCAGTTAGAACAGCGCCCCTAGCGGCAAACGTAGGCAAACGTTTCAACTCTATACTAATTTGAGTTAACTTTTACGCTATCGAGAACGTTAAAAAACTCGCACTTCGCACACCAGACCCTAATTAGAATTCCATGCATTATGAGTTCCAAAGACTGACATGCATACTTTATATACGTTTAAATTTAAACATATATAAATAATAACAACCCAGACGTAGAGCAAATAGATCTGTTCATCACACCAATGTTTGCCCGGTGTGAGAATCGAACCCTCGGCTCAACAGACGGGCGCGTTAACTAATGCCTCACTAAGTCAGTTAATAAAAACTTGAAAGTCAGGACGAGAATCCACATCTTCGGAGACCACACTAAATTGTGTTTGTTATATTGACATCAGTGTTGACATGGAAAGCTGCAAACCTTAGAGATAAGTATATACGGAAAGGAGCCAACAGATCCTTAGATAACCTCTGACTCCAAGTGATTTTTGAATAAAGTCTTCGCTAAACTAGTCTCCTCCTCCTCGAGTCGTGTTCCTCATGTCTGAGGGTCGTGACCACCATCACCCTCAAACTAGTCTAAACTAGAGTTAAACCAAGTCCCTTTTTATTTTGCAGAGATCTGTCATTCAAGAAAGGCGAAATAATACTCTTGCAGAAGAAACTAGACGCGTTTTGGTATCAAGGAGAATGTTCTGGAAGAACTGGAATGTTTCCAATCACTTTTGTACAGGTCGACATTCTTTTGTTGAATCTTTGATTTTAATAATTTTAATGTTCGACTTACTTAACAAAATCGAGGCTGGAAACCACAACACAAGAGGACTAACTTATAGTCAGACTGTGCTGGTTGCTCTTACTCAGATGGCATATCAATCTTGCTTCAAAACATTTTCATCTAAGTTTTGATATCCGCTACCGGTAACCGCTAAATATCATACGTGTAGTGAACATTTTATAGATTTAATTCAGAAGTAAAAACTATGGAGGGTAGAGGTAAGGAGAACCGTCTCATATGGGAGAAGCTTGAAAAAATATCCCACTTTCAGCACTAAATAACAGTTCAAAAATCCTCCAGAATGGCGTTAGCATAGGCACAGGGCATAACATGAATTGAGCAGTTGTTGACTGATTGAAGTATGCTGAGTTAGGAAATTTAATATATTTAAGACTAGAGTAGTTAGTGACAGTGTAATATACAAGACCTCACATATTTACGTAGTCCAAACTTATTTCGTCAATATAACCTAAAATTATTGCTGTGGTAAAATGTGGAGACATCGATTGCATTTTCTTATCAGCTTTATATAAAATATTTTTTTGTGATTTTGTAGTACTTACAGTTCTTTTCGTCCTTTTTTATTTCTCTATCTTATTCTAATAATTTTCAGCGCCTTTTTTTAAATTTACCCGGTTGCTACAGCAGCGCCACCCTTATTTAGCAGATTTTAGCGGACGCTTTTTCACACAGAGACGGTTCTCCTTACCACTACCCTCCATAGTAAAAACTAAAATAATTGCGACATTAAAACATACTAACTTCCGGTAACCGTACTCGTCGAACTCGACAAAGAGTTCAACGTGCAACCTAACCCATGAATCAGCTCGCTGAGTTTCTCGCCGGATCTTCTCAGCGGGTCGCGATTCCGATCTGGTAGTAGATTCATTCGCGAAACAGCTGCTCTTGAGTTGTTAGGTCTCCTTCGGAGGCGCTCGGGCAGCTGTTAGCATATCCCACCTCTCCTGGCTGAGCATTTGCTCGCCGACCTGTCCTGGTGAAACTGGAAAGATTTCCGGGCCACCAGTAATTCTTCAATCATAAAAAAAAAAACATACTAACGCCTTGAATGTATGTAATTGTGCAAGCGCCATCTGTTTTTCGTGTAACAAATTAAACTCCGATATTTGTTTCAGGTCGTCGTACAGTTGCCGGCGGCGACGGCGCTCTGCAAAGCGCTCTACGACTTCCGAATGTCAGCCCCCGACGAAGAAGGGTGTCTCGCTTTTGATAAAGGTACGATTTTGAAGTAAATAAAAATAATATTTAAATAATTTGATCACTTACCGAGGCGTGATTAAAAAAAAAAAAAAATGGAAACGCGACGGTAACGGTGGAAGGACATTTTATTATTGAATCTAAATTTAAGTATATTTATTGTAATACATTTATAAATACGGACAGCGTCACAAAAAATGCAGCTTTTAAAAAAGCAACTTTAAAATACTTTTACTCAAACTTTGTTAATAGTAAGGGTATGGTTGTAGGATAGCATTGAGATAGTAATTTAATGGACTATTAGAAATTAAAAACTTGTGGATGTGTTTTTAATCTTTTTATAAAAACAAAACTTAAAGTTACAAAAAATAAAATTAAAATCATTAAAAAAAATTACAAATAAGTTTTTTATTGCTTGGATGGGTGGACGAGGTCACAGCCCACCTGGTGTTGTGGTTTCTGGAGCCCATAGATATCTACAACGGCTGTCTCACCCTTCAAACCGAAACGCATTACTGCTTCACGGCAGAAATAGGCAGGGTGGTGGTGCCTACCCGCGCGGACTCACAAGAGGTCCTACCACCAGTACCAGCTCTTGGTACCAGCGAGATCGAACCGTTAATACTACAGAACAATGAATTTGTTTCAGGAGCTATAATAACGGTGCACCGTCGCGTCGATGACAACTGGGCCGAGGGTAGACTAGAGAACAGAGTCGGCATCTTCCCTATAGCGTTCGTCGAACTCAACCAGGCGGCCAGGCAGCTTATAAACTGGTAATTAACCCTACGACTGCCGTGTAGGTCACCAGTACCCTACGCGACGCACTGAAGTACTTTATTAAGTCAATTTCTGTTACTAAACGCCTAAAGATTGCCTAACTTTACCTTCTTTTGTTTGTCAATGTATGTTTTAGTCTCATAGAAATACATAGATTCATTCTCATTATCATCGGATGTAACTATACTGAGACCTTAGAACTTATATCTCAACGTGGGTGCCGCATTTACGTTGTAGATGTCTATGGGCTCCAGTAACCACTTAATACCAGGAGGCCCCAACTAAGCAATAAAAAAAAATCGTCTTTCTCAGAGTCTACTAGATATTCCGGCGCCTTAGTAACAGTAAATCGACATAATTAATTCAGTGCGCCGCGTAGGGCACTGAATTAACCTGACCTACGTTTTTTTATTGCTCTTGTAGGCAGACGAGCACACGGCCCACCTGATGGTGAGTGGTTACCGTCACCCATGGACTTCAGCAATGCCAGGGGCCGAGCTAAGCCGCTGCCTACCGAAAGTGCCTACGTGGCAGTCAAAGGGTTAATAACGACAATCGAACAAGTTGTTCTCGTATAGGTTAGATTGCTGTATTAAAGTACGTCTGTACGTTTCCAGCGCGCCCCTGAACCGACCCGTGCCGCCGGTCCCGGGACACGCGCGGCCCGGACACTCCGAACACAGACATCACTCTCAGGTATTCAATCAAATATTAATAAGCACGCTTTTTTGGTTTCGTCTTCAATGAATTTTCTTTTACACGAACCGTTTCTCGGAACATTTGCTGCAATTATTCATTGCCTTATTCTAGGCCTGCATTCTAGGTCTTAAATTTAATGCGAAAGATAAAAATAACAATTTGTTTGATTAAGGTGGTCCCAACTATTGTTTTTTTTATATTATATATACTCATATCTTTGTGCGAAATATTATCTAAATTTGTCCAGTTATTATAGCGTGAATGGGTCACAAACTTTTAACTGCTTTCACGTATCTATAAGTACGATATTTGTATAGATTAATATATTGGCAGAACTGTCCATATACCTTTAAATCAAGGATTTAGTTTTAGGAAAAAATATTTTGTAAATGCGTCTGAAAAAAAAGTGATCGTAGTCTGATCTGCATTTATATGAGATTGCAAAAGAATTAACTAAGTTAATGACATCTAAACAATTTCGAATTACAGCATCCGCATCGCTATCAGCCCATGTCGGTCTCTACACCGGCGACGTCACAGGGCAACTACCAGAACATGGCAACGATGACCCAATCCCACCCCAACTACCCGACAGCGATGCTGGTCCAACAGCCGCAGACACTGGGCCCACACGCGGGCCTGCTCTCGACGCCGCCGCGGAACATTCTCGAACAGCAGTCGAAGCACGCGATAGATCTGATACACTTTAGCAACAAGGGCCACGGCGTGCTCGGCCTGCAGAGCGTGTCCCGCATCGGCGAAGTCAACTACGACAGGACGCGCGTCAAGTTCGACTACAGTTCGACTCCCGCGGACTCGACGTACCAAAACGTGCGCCCCCCCGTCTCCAACAACCCCAGCTCGGACTCCAGTTCCAGTATGAACACTCCATCGGTGGGCGTCAGTTCCAACACCACGCCCAACACCAGCTCTGACACGAGCACCTGTGAGAGCAACGAGCCCAGCCTGCCGAGTTCCCCGGACAACAACACCGACCGGACCGCCGCGGTCAACGGGCCCGACCCGGATCCGGACCGACGCGAACCTTCACTAAACACCTCGATGGGAATACTGAGCCTGAACGAGAGTTCCACCGCAACTAACACGTCTCTCAACGTTAGCCTGCCCCCCTCAGAAAGCCCCAAACCGAACGCTTCGAATGAAGAGGCACAGGAAACGGAAGAAGTTAGACTAGACGCCCCGTCTTCCAGCAAAGTAGTGATCCGCTCCAGCGGGCCGGACTCCCTGCTGAACTTCGGGCTCGGTCTGCAGGCGGCGCTGTCGCCATCTCACGGCCAGGAGGGGAACTACGTGGTGTCGAGATCGCACAGAGATCCCCACAGGGAGAGGGAGAAAAGACACAGTCTCACGCCCTCGACGCATTTGCAGGCCAATCATAATACGCCGAATAGGTGAGACTTTTCAGTTATATGTTTCTGATCTCTTTCTCTTGTCTTCTTGTTCACGATTGACTTCCACGGTGAAGGAATAACATCGTGTAATGAAAATCAAACCCGCAAAATTATAATTTGTGTAACTGTGTGTACTGGTAGTAGGACCTCTTGTGAGTTCGCGCGGGTTGGTACCACCACCCCGCCTATTTCTACCGTGAAGCAGTAATGCGTTTCGGTTTGAAGGGTGGGGCAACCGTTGTAACTGTACTTGAGACCTTAGAACTTATATCTCAAGGTGGGTGGCGCATTTACGTTGTAGATGTCTGTGGACTCCGGTAACTACTCAACACCAAGTGGGCCGTGAGCTCGTCCACCCATCTAAGCAATAAAATAAATAAAAAATCTTCTTAGTTTATATATTTATCATGTACAAGTAGTAATGTGTAATGTACAAGTTATAATGTACTAGTGTAAAAGTTGGGCTGCTTGCCAGTAATAATAATAGTATTATCGTGCCTTATTTTCTTTTATTCTCTTTGTTGTTTTGTTGTAGGCTGCCCACAGGTTGTTATTACTATGTGTGCTTATGTATGTTTTGTATTCGGGTTCACTATTTAACTTGATTTTTGTTTTTTCTTCTTTTTATACTAGTTTAGACCACGTTCTAAGTCTGTACACTAGCCTTCATTCCCGCAATGAACCAAAGGGAAACGGGGGTGAGTGAAAATCAGCGCCGTTCGATTTATCAACCTTGAACAGCATTAGCTGAGCCACCTCCTTTTGCTTTTTTTTATTTGTATTTTATTTTATTTAATGTGAAAGGCAATAAATTATTTTATTATTATTATATACAAGATTAGCCATGTGTTTCTCTTGTCGCCGCAGACATTCAGCGGAGATAGTGGCGACCAGTCTGCTGGACGCGGCGCCGGTCGGGGGGCCGTGCGGGGGGTTGGGCGGGGGGACGGACGCGCGCGCTCGGCGGCGGCGCCGCTCCCGCAGCAGCGAGCGCCCCCTCCCCGCGCACTACGTAGCGCTGTACCCCTACCACCCGCAGAAACCGGACGAACTCGAACTCACCAAAGGAGGTACGGCTCTGTTTTTACTGCCCTCGAAGACAGACGATTGTATTTGAAGTCGTCGTGTACCAAAGGATAAGACGTCCGGTGCGTTCGTATTGAACGATGCACTGGTGTTCGAATCTCAGGCGGGTACCAATTTTTCTAATTAAACACGTACTCAACAAATGTTCACGATTGACTTCCACGGTGAAGGAATAACATCGTGTAGTAAAAATCAAACCCGCAAAATTATAATTTGCGTAAATACTGGTGGTAGGACCTCTTGTGAGTCTGCGCGGGTAGGTACCACTACCCGCCCATTTCTGCCGTGTAGCAGTAATGCGTTTCGGTTTGAAGGGTGGGGCAGCCGTTGTAACTATACTAGAGACCTTAGAACTTATATCTCAAGGTGGTGACGCATTTGCGTCGTAGATGTCTATGGGCTCCAGTAAACACTAACATCAGGTGGGCTCGTCCACCCATTTAAGCAATAAAAAAAAGTGTTCAAACTTCAGTTCAAGAACAACAAGTTGGTGGGGTTTGGTAAACATTAAGATGCAGGGGGCTTATTTCTTTAAAAATTCTCAATTCCCTTCTTCCGCTTCGCTTCAGGTGATCCGTTCGTTGTTTCGCTTCGAGTAGTTCCGATTACTAACTGACTGCGTGCCATCTCTACAACGCTTTTATAGCCAATACCTCATCCCTAGAATTATCGAGAATATTCCACACATCTCTTGTAGTTTTTCTGCTATCTGACAATAGATGGCGTTGTACTTCTCGAGCGTTCTAGGTGCTACTAGATCCTTCGATATTCGTTCGACTATCCGATGGCGTTACTCTTACCGGCGTAACATTTTATTACTCAACTTATTTTATCACTTAAATAAATTCTCGTTATTATTTGCCTCTAGTGGTGTACACCGTGACGGAGAGATGTCGCGACGGCTGGTACAAAGGATTTTCGGAGCGAAGTCAACGGGCTGGAGTGTTCCCCGGGAACTACGTAGCGCCGCACCGAACCAAGCACGACAAGGTACTGCAAAAAAATATAGTTTAAGCTTAGCGACATCTGGTGGAGAATGAAGCCACAACCCACTCGGGGTATATTAGCACAGAATCGCTTAAGCCTTGTTCGGACTAGGCGAGTATTTTAGTTGAGTACCGAGTAATTTAGTAGATAAATGTGTCTGAACACCAAAAATTTTGTCGAGTAGGTTAGTAAATAATTTAGTCAAGTCAATCCATTTTGTTCTATTTTTTCGGGCGAGTAGCGAGTAGTTTAGCCACTAAATTACTCGGTACTCGACTAAAATACTCGCCTAGTCCGAACAAGGCTTTAGAGACGCGAATTTTACTAATGTATTATAAGAAAAAGAAATTGTTGTTCAATCTGAAATGCGTGACTGGCGAAACAAGTAACAACGGTAACAGTAAAACATGATGATAGCACGATAATATAAAAAAAGGAACAAAAATTGTAAAGCACGCAATGTAACACAAATATTGTATAAACGATAGTCCGGGGGCAATGCTCTATGACCTCGTCCGATGCTGTAACCTTTGCCGCCATAGATAGCGGCACATCAAATATGAATATTCAAAAATGAAAGGCTTAATTGAATATGCAATTTCGAAAAGGGCACATGTCGCATATTTTATATTTTGTCAAGTACGTTTTTTCTTATACATGTACTTTTGAGGCTTACGTACACCCATTTTATAATAATTCCAGTAATTTTCAATTGCTAATTAATACTAAAATATATCTCAAAAGTTCATATTTTAAATTTTACACTGCTTTAGAAAATAATCAGTTTTTTTCACATCCTGAACAATTTACATTTTCAGAGATTTACCCTTTTCGAAATTGCATATTCAATTAATCTTAAATGTACGAGAAATCGTAATCAAAAAACGACATTAATAAACGAAAGAAAATTTGAATTATCAAACGAATGTTCTCCATGTGTATGTTTCAGAGTGTAGTGAGTACGGTGGGGACGGTGCCGAGCTTGAAGGCGATGACGTCAGGGCCTCCCCCTCCCCCGGACGCCCCGCCGCGGGCCCCCTCTCCCTCCCCGCTGCTCTCTGCGGGTAAATACGGACTAATTATAGAATTGTACTATAAATTCATGTTGACTGGGCTTCTGTACTGTTTTCAGCTGTGTAGTATGGCTATTTTTATTAGATTTAAACCCCATGTCTCAAACAAGACGCGTCACCAAATGATGATTGCTCAAAATACATCCTAATCGTTTGTATGTTAACTATATTATTATAATTAAATTAGATAAAGTAATTAAGCAGAGTTCTCTTATCAGATTTTTTGTCCTGGAAATTTGTGAGCAATAATTAATGAAACAATTTCTGACATTAATCTCAGTATGTTCCATTAACCCAATTCTTATGTAATAAATATTATTAGATCAATTGTAGAAACTAGTACAGTTTAGTGTTAGACCATAATCATCACATTTGAAGATTTTTATGTATTGCATTTTCTCTTTTGTTTTGATATTGATATTTTGAATGAACAAGTACTGGTGTACAAGTTTACTGGTGGTAGGACCTCTTGTGAGTCCGCACGGGTAGGTACCACCGCCCTGCCTATTTCTGCCGTGAAGCAGTAATGCGTTTTGGTTTGAAGGGTGGGGCAGCCGTTGTAACTATACTTGAGACCTTAGAACTTATATCTCAAGGTGGGTGGCGCATTTACGTTGTGGATTGACACCAGGTGGGCTGTATGCTCGTCCACCCATCTAAACAATAAAAAAATAAAAAAAGTACGAACATATTCTGCTCTTTAATAGCTATTAAACAGTAACAGAACCAGTTTACAGATCAAAAAATTGTATTTTTTCCCTACCTATTCGCTGGTGCCTTAAGAGGCTATTCCAGCTACTCACAGACCGGAAACGTTTCTTAACAGTTTTGTCTTTACCCGCCTATAGAAATGTTCATAATGAGTTTATTAATTTGTATTACAGCACAGCCTTTGACGTACCCTTGGAATTCGACGACGCTATGTATGCAACAAACAACGCCTAGATCTGAAAAGGTATGTTTTGAAGCAATAATATGTTAATGTAAGTTTGGTAAGAACGGTGGAAGGGCTTTTTGCGGTAGGTAGCAGTGAAGCAGTAATGCGTTTCGGTTTGAAGGGTGGGGGTAGCCTTTGTAACTATACTGATTTAGAACTTATATCTCAAGGTGGGTGGCGCATTTACGTTGTAGATGTCTATGGGCTCCGGTAACCACTTAACACAAGGTGGGCTGTGAGCTCGTCTACCCATCTAAGCAATAATAAAAGGTAGGCAGCAGCTTGGCGGTGTCCCTGGCATTGCTAACGTCCGTGAATAACGGTAACCACTTACCATCAGGCAGACCCTATGCTCGTCTGCCTATAAGGGCAGTAAAAAATAGTGATTTAAACGAAAAAACGTAATAGACAGACAAAATTACTTTTGTGATACAAGATAGGTATTCGTGATATAAGATGATAGGCAGCGGCTTGGATCTGCCCCTAGCATTATTGATGTCCATGGGCGACGGTAACCGCTTACCATCAGGTGGGCCGTATGCTCGTCTGCTTGCAAAGGCAAGAAATAGAAAAGAAAAAAACATATAAATAAAGACAAAGACAATTATTGTGTCTTCTAATAAGAAGAAATCTTTAAATGACGCTAACATTTTTTTCTTCTAAATATTATTATCATGAAGATTCGTTCAGAGATTCCAATCATGCAAAAACAAAAAAAAAAATCGAAAGACCTTTTTTCACCAATTCACTATTTCACATTCACCAGTTTCCTTCAATGAACAGAAACACCATATAAACCATCATTGAAGTCGTCGTGGCCTAAAGGATAAGACGTCTAAAAAAAAAAGTAGTCTAACTATCATGTAGGTACGCATTAATCGAATGTATTGTCGACAGTCGAGGGACAAAACGAAAGCGGAGAAGTCTTCTATATCGAGCGGCGTCAGTCTCATGAAGCGTTGGGCCGCCATGAAGAAGTGCAAGTCTCCGCCGCCGGCCGCAGCGTACAGCATCGACAACCCCGTGTTCGAGGACGGGCCCTCGCGGCTGCTAGACGTGCCGCTGCACCCGCACCACGTCAGGTCAGTGGCTCCCAAACTGTTTACCAAACATCGCTGGAGGAGACAGCGGCTCTCAAACTGTTTACAAACCATCGAGTTTAACGCTCAGGTTTGATGACAATAACTATTCGGTTTAGAGGTAGACAGCGGCTTGGCTATGCCCCGGCATTGCTGAAGTCCGCGACGGTAACCATTTACCATTAGGTAGGCCATTTGCTCGTCTGCCTGCATGGGCAATTAAAAAAAATATTGAAATAACAGTACTTATAAATCGTTAATGATTTGAATTATAAATACATGTATCGTAGGACACAAGATATTTGGCGGATGTCTGAATCTCGCTAAAGACATTTTCAAGATAAGCTTGCATATATATTATACAAGTTCCGAATAACAACATTGGGACCGTCAGTCTACCGAGCAATATCACCCGCTCGGTGGAAGATCTTCCATTAGGCGTTACTCCCAATATATAATTCGGGTTCAAGATAATTGTACTACAGCGAAATATTAAACAAATTAATAAAACAGGCGATTGGCTCTTTAATTTTCATTTGTGTTTTGTTAATAACGTAAACTCAGAATATATGTGTATATGTTTGTTTTGTTATCATTTCAAAGATCAAGCGAACAAAAAGTATAAATATTAGCATTAAATTGTAATGTACATAAAAATAATATATTTTTTGATAATCATAATCTGTTACAAGATTATATATATATATATATATAAATTTAACACATTGCATTCTTTGTTCACTTGTTATTTACTACATTAATCGTTAAAGGGCTTAGATGAGAGTTTAAATGGTTCAAGAGAAGAAAAAAACTATACAGAATTTTTAAGTGGAAAAATAAAAAAAAAAAGCTATAAAATATTTTGTTTGATTAAATTCTAATTTTATTTTGATCTTTAAGCTCTCATGCGTTACGCTTGGAATGGCCGTGTGTGAGCTAACAGCACTTATGTCCTATTTGACGCGACACGTACCAGCGGCTGAATTTCATTTACAACACTCGAACTTATCGTACGCGCTTCATTGAGTTTCAATGTAATTAAATATAAGAACAAAGAATACTTATTATAAAAAAAAAACTTAAATCACCTACCCTCAAAAAAAATTGCTATTATCTTTCTCCGTAGTCGCAAAGATAGCATGTATTTAATGCCCCAATTACGCACTTAACTAATTTATTATAATCTTAATACAATTAACAAATGCAGTAATTAAATCGGCTCCAAAATTTCTCACAAACTCACAAGTATTATATATTGCAATCGTTTGTAAGAAGTTAATAGTGACACAACCCGAGCAGATAAAATATACATTTGAAAATACAATTTTATTGGTATCTTAATATGGAATAATAGAAATTAATCTACAATCATAGAGTGCAGTTATTCTGATATTTTATTCAATTGATTGATTTATTGATCACATAATAAAATTGAACTAACAAAACAAATTGAATGTGAACTTTGACAAGCGTTGCATTTAGGAGGCGAGCTAGATTAGGGTTGTCCAAGGTACATCCAAGTTTTCGAGTTAAAAAATAGGTAATTTCGCGAATTCCCCCAATAATAGTAAAATATAGCTTCACTTTTAAATGAAGTCATAGGAATGGAATGCTACAAGAATGAAGATAAATTGTACCAAATATTGATTATCCGTTTTGACTATTATCCAAACTATTTTCTGGTTACGGCCGCATAAAAATAAGCCTTTGGTCTTGGTGTGGATAACCCTGAGCTAGATAGATTATTTCATACTATAAACAAGGCTTAAGGGACTTTGAGTGAAAAAGGGTTATCATTTATGTTGACTTGATTATTTGAATTATTTTCATTTTGTTTCGAAACACCAAACCAAACTGCCGATGCATTGTAAATTGTAGATCCCAATGTTCAATACTGCTTCATCGATATTTTCTTTGATAAAAAAATAGTTAGAAAGAGAAAAAAAAAATTGTTATCGAGTCGAGTATAAGTTCGAGTGTTGTCTCGTGTGGCGGGTCAGAGGTTGTAGAGTACGTTGTGGCGCGACAGGTCGGGGTCGTGCCCCTCGCAGCTGCTGCGCGCGCTCCCCGCCGCCGACAGACGACTCCGCGCCCCCGCCGCACCACTCGCGCACAGGTTCGCATCTACACGCACGTACACGCACAGGATCACATCTGCACACTAGCGCACAGGGTCACATCTACACACACCCAAAGGTCGCATCTACACAAACATACACACGCAAAGGTCGCATCTACACAAACATACACACGCACGCAAAGTGTCACATCTGCACACATACCCATAGGGTCACATCTCCACACACAAACATGCAGGTCACATCTGCATACTTACGCACTGGGTCACACCTACACACACAGGGTCACATCTACACACACCCAAAGGTCGCATCTACACAAACATAACACGCAAAGGTCGCATCTACACAAACATACACACGCAAAGGTCGCATCTACATAAACATACACACGCACGCAAAGTGTCACATCTGTACACATACCCATAGGGTCACATCTTCACAGACAAACATGCAGGTCACATCTGCATACTTACGCACTGGGTCACACCTACACACACAGGGTCACATCTACACACACCCAAAGGTCGCATCTACACAAACATAACACGCAAAGGTCGCATCTACACAAAAATACACACGCACGCAAAGTATCACATCTGCACACATACCCATAGGGTCACATCTCCACACACAAACATGCAGGTCACATTTGCATACTTACGCACTGGATCACACCTACACACACGCAAAGGTCGCACTTACACAAACATACACATGCACGGACAGTATCACATCTGCACACATATGCACAGGGTCACATCTCCACACACAAATACGCAGGTCACATCTGCATACTAGCGCACAGGGTCACATTTACACACACGCAAAGGTCGCATCTACAGAAACATACATACGCACGCACAGCATCATATCTGCACGCATATGCACAGGGCCACATCTACAATAACACACTGTTTCTCAGCCAACAAACAAACAGAATCCCATCCACACACACATGTAGGTTGCATACGCACGCACAGGATCGCATTTACTCACATATACACGTAACATATTGGTATGCTCGACACATCCACGCGCAAGTAGCTCCACGCATGCAAACCATACACGCACAGGTGTGCATCTTCTACCCGCAATATCCACACAATTACAATCGGATCGCGTTATGCACGTAAATACAAAAAAAAACGTTTTAACCTTTCGTAGTTGTCGACATTATAAACCCTATTATTTAACGGGAACAAAATCCTATAAATAATATTGTTTATACATAAAAATACTATTAACTTATTATTAACGTGCACGCATCAAACACAGTTTTACTAATCCGATTTTCAATTTAGAGCATAATTTGCGAAGCTTGCGCGGATAATTCGAATCAGTTACTGTGACTAGCGAAAAATTAAATAAAATTAAACGAAATCAGTTAAAAAAATGTAATGAAATGAAGTTTTAATAATTGTAATGAAAATAGGCCCTGTGAAACCAGTGTTTCCCAACCTTTTTTGTGCCATGCCCCAGTTAAGATATCTAAAATTTGTATGCCCCCAATCCATAATTTTAAACATTAAAAAACTGATTTGTTCACTTAAGAAGCATAAATGATAGGCTTTAGGAAGAAATCACTATGAAATTATCACCAGAACACAGTAAGTAATATTTCAAAACATATAATAAAAACTGAAATTCAAATTAATTTTTACACAGATTTTCTATATTAATTTAGTGTGATTGCCCCCCTGAATTATCAAATTGCCCCCTTGTTGGACAACATGTTGGGAAACATCGCCCTATACTGATTTGAGCATCACTGCCCCTCTTAACATCACATTCATCTTAGAAACAAATAAAACAAATATTTATTTACTTACACGGAATGAACACGAATATTCACGTAACACGCTCGTTAAGTTTTGCTTATATGTATTTGTTTGTGCCGTAAGTGTTTTTTTTTGTCTAGCTTCGCTTTTGAGTAACTAATCAATTAAATTGTAAATATTAAGCAATTTCATTTGTGTTGTTATAAAATGAAAATTTTCAATTTTTATCATTCGCGTTTAATGTAAAACTTTTTATTTATTTAATTAAATTATAACTTCAGTCGGTTTTTAGTGAAATTTTGATGATGATGATACAATGTTTTTTTTTTGTTTTTTCGTATTGTAGATCTACAAATGAGAGTCCGTGGCAAACTCAGCACAGGAAATCGCAATCTCTCGACGTCACCGCCGCTAGGAAAGACAGACACCATTCGCAAACCGTGAAAGAAAGGTATATATGGCACAATATGTTCAAAAGGAAGGATTCGAAAAAAAAAACAGTACAAATATCCCATAATTATCAAAATTTTAAACCCTCAGACACAACCGACTGAGTTTCTCGCCGGATCTTCTCAGTGGGCCGCGTTTCCGATCCGATGGTAGATTCTGCGAAGCACGGCTCTTGCTAGGGTTCGTGTTAGCAACGTCGTCAGGTTTGAGCCCCGTGAGCTCACCTACTAGTTAAGGTTACGCGCTGGAATAGCCTCTCAAGGCTACCAGCTTGCGTAGAAAAAAAATATATCAAAATTTTAAAGTTATCTATAGTATTCATTTTAAAGTGATAGGTAACATTTTCTAATCGAAACTAATTAATACATAATTATAAGTATCATATTAGTACGTTGGTAAATTTTATTCAGACCACATTGCAATGACAACTGATACAATAATAATTATAAAGCTTAATAGGAAAATGCTGGTGGTAGGACCTCTTGTGAGTTCACGCGGGTAGGTACCACCACCCTGCCTGTTTCTGCCGTGAAGCAGTAATGCGTTTCGGTTTGAAGGGCGGGGCAGCCGTTGTAACTATACTGAGACTCTGACACGACTTTTAAGCCACGCCTACTTGGACACGACTTTTGTTGGGTCATTTTTAGAGCGCAGTTACATTTCCTGACTTATTATTTATTCGTAGATTTTTACGGTACATTTTTACCGCCAAAGCCACATGTTATTCGCTACGGCAGCATTGTCGATACCTAATTAAAATAGAAAATTTTGCGGACTCACAAGAGGTCCTACCACCATCAGTTTTACTAACGATGCCATACGTAAGTAAACAAAAGTATTTTTTGATTCGCAGATACCGCTGTATAGTTCCGTACCCTCCCAACTCGGAGTATGAGTTAGAATTGAAAGTGGACGACATAGTGATAGTGTCGAAGAAGCGCGGCGACGGCTGGTACAAGGGAACGTTGCAACGCACAGGTCGCACCGGTCTGTTCCCGGCCTCGTTTGTGCAAAGCTGCCCTCACGAATGACGTACGTACGACAAATACGCTAGTGTCTTTTATTAGACACACCACGGGGACAGTCATGATATTTGCCACAACATGAGATTAAAATTTTATCAACACTTTTGTACTAGGATTCCGTTGCCTACCGTCAGGTAAAGTCGTGAATTTGTTGCCGCATTAAATAATAACCGTATTGTGTTAAGAGGTCAACAATACATTGGCGGCTATGTGCGAAGAACATGCAATTTGGCCATGCTCGACTTATGTAAAAATGTCCCGATTACAACTCGATTAAATTTAGTTCTGGCTGTATGAACTATTTCCTTTTTGCGTGTCACTTTAGTAGGACAGTCATATTATATGCCTTTAAAAAAACATCGATTCTGTATTTCAAAAACAAATTAGATTATCAAACTACAGCACGTTTTATCGAGTTGTAATCTAAAAACACTATGTATAGATTATAAATGTCGGTCGGTGTCAGAATGTTGGAACTGTCAATGTCACTTGCCTCCAGCTAAATTTGAAAATAGAACAAAAAAATAAAAGGAAATGATTCAATGTTTTAATTGAATTAAATGTATATGAAAATGTTCAGCAAGTTTTTCAAGTCAAACGATTGTATTAAGTTGTATAAACAACAATGCAATGAATACAGGTGCCCACCTTTTACTAAGTTAGTTTTTTTTTTAATCTCAATAGATTCATGTAATTGTTACATGTATAAAATGTAATAGAAAAAAAAGCCGGGGATCCCTTTGTTTTATTAAAAATGACAAAATATTCAAAGACTCAGTATTAATTCAGCATTGTTAATGAATTCAATAATATTTTCAAATAAAATTATAAAAACGCATATAAAAACAATGGTTCAATTAAATTTCTTAAAAATTCTACTTTCGGTAATCCTCCCAAGTCTTAAGATCATCAAATAGGATCCCCGAGCTTAAAAACATCTTGTCTTCTCTATGCGAAGATTGTATATTTTTTAATTTTCTTTTGTTTAAAAAAAACGATGCGGGCCAAATGAATGAGTCCAGAGAGAATATAATTAATGATAATTATGACTATTAATAGTGTATTTTTATAATTATTAATAAAATCGAGTATCTATAATTATAATATTCGTCTGTAGCGTCTTGTAATACGATATATTAGCTAATGAATTTCCACACTTTTTCTACTAGAAATATTTTTCCCATAGTTTATGTAATAAAAATTATATTTATTCGTCTTTTAAACTCGTTGGTCGGTGTGACAAGCGAGACGGGGCTTGTTTAGTGTTAAATTATGAGTCAACTTTCACAATTTTGTCATTTAAATTTCAACTTTGGAATTAATATAGTGACATATCTGATTATTATTTTTTATTATATCAACATTATCTAGTGATCAGATATATAAAGTCGCTTGCTCGTTATCGATTGTTAAATACTAGAATTGATCGTTTTTTTATTAACTTTATGTGTCCGGTAATGATATTTTATATGTAAAAAGAAGCAGATATGTTTCAAGCGCACGTCAAGTGAAGACTCGAAAACAGGCCAATTGGGACGTTTCGTCTTTAGTCGCGTCTAAACAAATGCAATAATAATATAACAAGTGCAATCGTTCCAATTATAGCTATCTTTTTTACTCACGCGCTTATCCCATCTTTTGTACTTTTCATTAATGCTACNAATAATAATATAACAAGTGCAATCGTTCCAATTATAGCTATCTTTTTTACTCACGCGCTTATCCCATCTTTTGTACTTTTCATTAATGCTACTTGTCAACATGTGTGTGCACTATATCGGTAGGTATGTAGATATATATGGCGCGATCAGATTTGAAGAGTCAGTTACTATGAAGATAACATATCTGTTGTATAAAAAATCATTGGTGTCCGGACATATGTCAAGTGTTGTAAGATCCTTTATAAAATTCGAAGGTGCAAAATCTTGATTTAATTTATATCGAAATATTGATTTTTTAAGCAATTTACTCGATTTACAGAGAGTACGAGTAGTATTTGTACAATAATTAAATCTATTTTTACAGTTTATTATTTGTTTCCGATATTTCAAGTTTTCATGACCACGAATCACTAAGTTATTCTTTGTAGACATTTGAATATTGTGCTGAATATAGTAAACTGTAAAAGTACTGCAGAAAACTGTAAAAATAGTTTTAATTAGATTTTTTTTTAAATAACACCTAAAATAAGTTGATTTCTTAGAGAGTTTCAACTGATCATTTTTTTTAAATCGAAAGCAAGCGATAAACCTTAGTGTAAATCTGTTCCACAAATTTATAATATGTTGAAGACAGCAGTAGATGTAATTTTTAAATTAAATTAAAATATTTTATTTTTTAGATAAATGTAATCTACGAATTTTCATAAGAATTTAGTGATTTTATTTCACATTTGTATTCTAATTCAATTGTGTGTTTAAAATTGATAGGTCAGTCGGTTTCTGTGTTGTTTTTTTTTTAATTCATTCGGACGCGGTATAGGAAACTTCATGTGACGTCATTCGTGGCCAAATAACATAGGAGCTAACCATAGAATATGCATTAAAACAATATGCTGTATTCACAAAATTTGATATACTTGTAATGATAGATATATTTTTTTTTAAAACATTTTCAAACTGAATTGTTGATATTTCAGAGAAATAATGATGGAACAAACGTTTTGATCTAGTCGAGATCTTAATAACTTTTTATCTTTGATTTATAATCTAATAGAAGAGTCTATTTAAGTGACTTTTAGTGTGTTTGTTAGCTTCTAGCCTAACCACGTCCGTTTGAATAATTCCCTGACAATGTATAGGAGGAATGTCTTTGTAAGTTCTTTAGGACTACAATTTTACGCTTATTATTATTATTTAAAACACCCTTCGTTTGTAAGACACTGCCATATTAAATATCCTTTTTAACGTGATTTTTTATAGGTAACGAACAACTATTGAGCGAAATCTTTGGTATTTCGTGACAAAAAAAACTTTCTGATTTTACTATATAGGAGTCGACTATTATCAAAGCCGGCAATGTGACTTTTGGACAATTATTGGTAAATCAGAAAAACGAATTATTGACTTTGTATTCCATTGGCAGTCACAGAACTCTTCTGAATGACATCTTAGATAAATAACAGGTTAAGTATTAACCTTTATTTAATGCAGGTTTTGAACCGTATTCTTTGAAGGAGACGATTATATTCAAATCAATCTGTATTGACATATCAATAACATTTTTTTGTCCAAATGCACAGATTGCCACCTTTGATAATAGACGATTCATAGGATACAATATTTAATTTAAATATTCGCGTTGTAATGTAGGTTTGTGTAAATTATGTATTAGTGATTAGCGATGTATTTCCATCCTTCTCCAAGATGTATTCGGTCGGATTTGTTTTTACGTAGGAAAATTATATTTGTTTTTATCGCGTGATCTTTAATATAGTATCTAAATTATAGTTTTTCATACAAAAACAAATGATACGTGTGTTGCCATTGTTCAAGAAAAAAATTATCCGACCGGATGTGATCATGAGTCCATTGATGGAGTTTTTCGAAAACATTTTCGGATTTCATTAGTTGAATTCACAACTGATATTAAATTTAATGAATTAAGACTGTATATTAATAATTGATTTTTAGATTTATCTATTAATAATAATATTTATAGTTGGCAACACTACTTGATTGACAATTTTATATTTATAATGATATATTATTAATGACTTATAATCATTTTTCATTTCACCATTAATGTTTTTGAAGTGTAGAATTAATCAAGTATATATTTATTAACCATTGACTACGATTGAACCCGTGAAATAAATTGTAAAATCATCTCAATTATATTCATGCATTAATCTGTGCATCTCATCTCTAATCTATGCTTTAATTTATTCACTGAGTGTGTGTTCTACATTTTATTAGTTCCGACATTTCAATCTGTCAATATCATGAATTTACAACAACAGCAATTGGTAACAATTAAAAAATATATATGTATGTATTTTTCGTGTTTTTTAAGTTACGAAGAAACTTTGTATATTTGTGTAAATGTTAAAAAACCTGTAGAATCAATGATACCTCACAACTGAACTAGTAGATGGAATGTAGAGAATTTTTTCCACCTACCTATTTGCTAGTAGCCTAAGGGGTTACTCCAGCTACGTGGTGACTAATAGGTCAGCTCGCGGATTCAACCTGAGAGAATTTGCTAAAATGAGTCTAATTTCGGGAAGAGCAGTGCTTCGTAGAATATACCGCTGGATCGGAATCGAGACATGCTGGGAAGATCCGGCTAGAAACTCAGTGGGCTATGTCATAATCAGAATAACCCCGAACCCTTGCTTGCTTGCCAATAAGGTCGTCGGTATCTGTGCCAAATAAATAATAGTTTAAAAAAACTAACAAAATACGCTTTTATAGAAAATCCAACAAAACAGGATATTATCAAAATAACCTTTCTACTCATATCTGTTCAAAAAATATTTATAACTAGTGATACCATGCAGCCCACGCTTTTTTTTTACAATAAAATATTTTTTCTTACACTATTTTTAATTCAAATTCATTAAAATTTATTCTCTATTCTTTTGTTGGATTTTCTCGTATTTTGTTAGTTTTTTTAAACTATTATTTATTTTAATTTTTTTTGGTTGAATTTCAATTTTACCAATTTTTTTTTAAATATTGAATTGTCATCGTTCCTTAATAAGTATACCTGATTTTGAGTTAATCCAACGTTTTGAAGGGGGTCAAAATCATGTTCGAAGATTCCGTTACAAACATACATACTAAAATACATACGTCTGAAGCTAATAAAAGCGTATTAAAAAGGTACTCCGATATGAAATCTGCTGGTGGATTAAATGTCGGATCGTTGACCGAATTAACCCTTTGACTGCCTTGTAGGTTATCGGTGCCCTACGTGGACCACTAAGTGTTTGTGTCGATTTCCGTTATTAAGGCTAACTTTACCATCTTTTATTCTTAATGTATACTTTAGCCTTTTTAGGTCTCTTAAAAATGGTATTTTTGGATTCGTCTTTCTCAGTCTACTAAGATATTCCGGCGTCTTAGTTACAGAAATCAACGTAAACACTTCAGTGCGTCGCGTAGGGCACCGGTGACCTATACGGCAGTCAAAGTGGATACATATTAAATCGGGCATTGCTAAATTATACTGCCATTACAGATACAATTCGGGCTACCCGGTAATACATAGTTGCCGCAAAACCTAATTAATAATAATAATAATAACTGGGAACAAATCACGCACGATCATCCGACCCCAAATTAGGATTCCCTGTGTTATGAGCACCAGAGACTGACACACACACACTATACACATATAAATATATACTTAAGTAGATTATAAACACACAGAGAAAGACCAAACAAACGTGTTCATCGTACTAACGTTTGTCCGATGTGGGAATCGAACCCACGACCCTCCGCGCGACAGTCTAGAGCGCTAACTACTGCACCCCCGAGTCTAGATAATAGAATTGGTGTTGTACTAATAAAAAAATTAATATTACTTAATGACAGTCGTGCACGAAAACTTTTTGTTACTACGTACGTCGTTAATCGGGCTCGTTTACAACCCTCGGGGTCACTGACCGCCAGATCAACACGTTGATTTTAGTTCAGGTTCATATATGTATATATTCACTAATTGCGTAGACATTTAATTTTTTTTCTTTTTTATTGCTTAGATGGGTGGACGAGCTCACAGCCCACCTGGTGTTAAGTGGTTGCTGGAGCCCATAGACATCCACAACGCAAATGCGCCACCCACCTTGAGATGTAAGTTCTAAGGTCTCAAGTATAGTTATAACGGCTGCCCTACCCTGCAAACCGAAACGCATTACTGCTTCACGGTAGAAATAGGCAGGGTGATGGTGCCCACCCGCGCGAACTCACAAGAGGTCTTACCACACCAATAAACCACTATCGCATTCAGTCTTCTTCTTCTTTCTTTCCTATTACCCCCCTCTGATAGGGTTTTTTTTTTCATTCATCATCATAAGTTGTATCTCTCCACTGCTGGATGTAGGCCTCTCCCATAGTCCGCCACAATCAACGATCCTTCGCCTTCCACATCCAATCGTTCCCAGCATATCCCCGCAAGTCATCGGTTCAACGGGCAAGGGGACGCCCAACGCTGCGCTTACCACGTATGTCCAAGAGGCCCAGTTCCTGCTCTACTGAGAGACGTCAAGTTGTTCTGGGTGGGCCTCTCTTCCTTTTATCGCGTTCAGTGGGAGAAATATTTCTTAAACAAACTCTCTATATACATTTAAGTATATTTATATATTTATTTTCAAGATCTTTGTATTATAACTTTCATAATATTGAAAATAACGAAACTAATATTTTATATAACATTATTTATTAATTCGGTTGTGTTTGTGCGTGTGTACGTGTGCGTGTTATTTTTTTTTATGTCTTTTGTATATTTAATCTGTAATATTACGTAACTCACACAACGAACGTTTTATAGATTCCAATGTATGTTGCTCATTTCTGTAGATTACTATGGATATTCTTGTCACAAAATAACGACTTTTGGATGGTTGCGATAAATGTCGCGAGCATTCGGTGGTTTTGTAATAACCCTTGTTCATTTTAAAGTTTGCTTCTAGAGAGTAATTTTCAAAGGGAATCATATCGAAGTTGAATTAGGTAAAGAAATAAAGATTTCTTCTTAATTTATTTGTTTTTTTATTTATTACCACGTCGAACGCCAGCCATGCTTAGCTCAGTAGGCCTAGGCGGACACCCCGTGACCGCCAATAACTATGGTCCAGGGGGCGAGACGGACAATAGTCGCTGATTCCGTAATTCATTCCATTATTTTTGAATTACTGCCTCACGATATTGCGATAAAACAACTCAACGATTTTTAGACAATCTTAATATATTGGTGCGGCCCTAGTGGAAAGTATGTCGTCACGACACATGGTGTCCGTCATGGCGTTCAACGCGTTAAATTACCCACATTGACTTACCTAGTGGCGGGATAACATAATTAAAGTTCTCGTTGTGATGGATTGGAGACGTGCAGATAAAATTATTAAAGATTAAAGATATTCCGTCATTTATTAATATTGCTACGTAGCTATTTTAAGTTTCGCTTAGGATAATATTCCTACGCAATCTTCATTGGCTTCCGTCACTTCCACAATCGACTTTACAATCTTTGTACGCGAATAAAGTTGATAAGCGAACAATCGTAGACCAAGTTCAGGAGAATCCTTGTACTACGAACGATTTGAAGAGGACCAGTGGCAGTTGAAACAGGTTAAACATAAATATTTTGTTTGCAAACAGAACGTGATGATGAAGCACTGCACGTAATTCTATACAATTTCTATTAAAAACAATAAAACAGTATCTTACAACAATCAAAATAAGCGCTTATTAATCGCATAGTATTAGTTATTCATTGGTCCTAGTTTTAATATTATAGTTCATCTTTAACAAGTTTTAACATTTCATCTTCTTCCTCGCTCCATTCATCGGGATTTGAAGACATCTGCCCTAAAGCCTCCATCCTTCTTTCCATAGTTATTTTATCGAGTATATGTTCCATTTTCATATGCATGCAATCGTTGAAAACTGAAGCGTATTCGCAAATTTCAAATATATCTTCAACGATTTTTGAACATTCTAAAATGGCTGTCTTGAGGCGGGACATAACTTCGCTGTCGTCACCGTACACAGCCCTGTTTACTTCAAGAAGATTCTCCTGGCTCAATTTATTGTTTTTTATAATCGAATTCCGTTTGAGAATGCAAGCCACGAAACATTTTCCCTCCATATTCGACTGTGGTACTCGTTTAAGAAATTTCTCGACGTCCGCCATGGAAGCTTTGACTTGACGAGCGCATTCTGTCAAATTTTTCCTAAACGGTTCAATGTCTTCGTTCATTTTATTATATCTCTCGATATGTTCATCTTTAGTGAGCGGTTGAAATGAGTAAACGATGTATATGAATGACACGATAGTTAAAAACGTTAAAATTCTAGAAATTTCCGACACGGCCATATTGGCGGTCTGACGATTTTCCCGCGCACGTTTTGTTTTGCTCTTCATGTTCTTTCGTTTGACCCAACGGTTTTATTCGGCTAATTGACCGTTATCACGGAAACTAATAGACGTTGACGTGTGTAACGGTTAGTGGACCAGTTGCACAAGTACGAGCGGTAACAACTTCGCGATCTTGATAGCGCCAATGAATTTACGTATGTAACGATTACAAAACATTTAGAACAATTAACGAACTCAACTTCGTTTATAACGAGTTTTTAGGTGCGTACCTAGTGATTTGATTGTGCGTCCACTACAAGCGTACTGAGAATTTCGATTGCCTATTTCATTTTTAAATCGCATATCGCACACCAAATAGGAAGGAACTGAATATCAGCGCTGTTCAATGCATCCACTTCGAAAAACATCAGCTGAGCCATCCCCTCTGCCTTTTATTTTTTTACTTTACCGTAAAAATTTTCATCTGTGTAAATATATTTTTTGTCATTATATCCGTCGGAGCAAGTTATATCGGTGTACGAATTCATACGGATAATTCTGTGAATCTAAAATAGCGTTTGAGTTAAGAGCAAAATCCAGAGCTAACTATTTTGTTTTTTGAAGATGATTTACAAACGTCCAAATAAAAAGATAAAAAATGTAAAATTATGATTTATCATTTTTTCATATTCATTAGCATAAACCTTTTTTCTCTTTCATAAATACAGTTAATCTAAAGAAACTAAAATAAAGGTGTTTCGACATAGGAACATATTTCATTATGATTTTTTGAGTAAATATTATTGCGGCGTAAACCAAAACAATATAAACGAAACTAAGAAATAAAAACATAATTAATGCATTACCGATTTGCTTAGATGGGTGGACGAACTCACAGCTCACTTGGTGCTTAGTTAACCTATGTACTTTAAAACGTTAATAGCATCACCCACCCATCATAGACATGAGATCAGTTTCAATTTTGTTTTATAACGGCTATCCTACCCTTTACAATAGAACGCATTTCTGCTTTGCGGCTCATAGCTTTCTCTTTTTTATGAAGGAAGGATTACTGGTGGCCCGAAGGCCTTTCCAGTTTCGCCAAGACAGGTGGGCGGGCATAGGCTCCGCCAGGGGGTCCGATCAGCAGCCCGACCGCCTCCGAAACTCAAGGCTCAAGGGCAGCTGTTTCGGGAATACATCTACTACCGGATCGGGGCTCATACCCTACCTCTCCTTACAATACGTCCTATCGCCAAAAAGGCAGTTTTTTTAGACGAAATACACGATAAGTTTCACATTAAGAAACTAAATCAACGATTCACTGAATTACGACTTTGCGTAAAATTATTAGAGTACCTAGTTATTCGTTTAAATTCAATGGGAAAAACAAATTAATAACAACTCTAAAAACGGGTTCGATGCCCCGATATCCTTGGCGTATTACATAGGTTACTTTATTACGGCACTTCGAACGGAATGAAGCCATAGACGACGGCTACGCACGGTTTATGTGTACTTTGCCAGTCGGATTTTCTTTATGTGACGCAATAAAAGGATTCACTCCGGTTTCTATCGTTATAAACGATTCACAATCAGAGCTACGCTGGTCTTTCGGAAAGTATTCACTTAAATATTTTACGACGTACGATTTTAAGTTAAAACTTTTATGTTATACTTAAAACAGATCTTATCTTTATATTTTATGCAGCTTAATATTATTATAGATATCACAATATCGTATAATATAAAATTATGTTTTTTACTGTCCCTGTAGGCAGACGAGCATACGGCCCACCTGATGGTAAGTGGTTACCGTCGCCCATGGACTTCAGCAATGCCAGGGGCAGAGCCAAACCGCTGCCTACCGTTAAATATCGTAAACCGTTACCATCACAGTGGCGGGAGTCCCAGAAATTATAGTCGAATGACGTTCGATTTATTGTGTTTAGTTCTCAGGACGCTTCATCATCATCATCATCATTTCAGCCTATCGCCGTCCACTGCTGAACATAGGCCTCTCCAATAGATTTCCAGTGCGACCGGTCCATTGCCACCTGCATTGAATGTTTATTTAAGAATGTTTTTTAGTTAAACGATCTTTTATAGGTAATTTTAAATGACCTTTAAAACATAGGTAATTATGAATTAAATTTCACACACAATATCAGATCTCCGTATTGAAACAGGCTTTGTATGAAAATTCTTTTGTGTCATATAATAACAAAAGAAGACAACACGACGCTCATTTAGGTAAGTTAAAACGCATTAACTATAAAGCCAAGGTCGTGACAATAACATCAGTCTAGAAAGGCAGACTTGACGTTTAAAATGTACACGCCAAACACAACATACAGTTCTTGTTGGCGGCGGGGCTTGTTTACAAAACCACATGTGTAGATTTTTTAATTTTTTTTTTTTTAATAGATTGGTGGACGAGGTCACAGGCCACCTGGCGTTAAGTGGTTACTGGAGCCCATAGACGTATACAACGTAAATGCCGCCACCTACCTTGAGATATGAGTTCTAAGGTCTGTTACGGCTGCCCCACGTTTCAAACCGAAACGCATTACTGCTTCACGGCAGAAATAGGCGGGGTGGTGGTACCCGCGCGGACTCACAAGAGGTCCTATCAGTAATTACGCAAATTATAATTTTGCGGGTTTTTGATTTTTATTACACGATGTTATTCCTTCACCGTGGAAGTCAACATTTGTTGAGTACGTACTTCATTAGAAAAATTGGTACCCGCCTGCGGGATTCGAACACCGTTGCATCGCTAGATACGAATGCACCGGACGTCTTATCCTTTAGGTCACGACTTCAGTGCACCGGAGATAGATTCCACTGCCGTTAGATTTATCTATTTTAGTTTATTAAAAGCTTTCCTCTTTCTACCTTGAAGAATTCTTGTGTTCCTGTTTGCAGAGTAAATCAGAGAAAACATTGAAACCTCGACCTTATATCTATGGGTTTTGGCCACGGCATCAATACTAGGTGGCCTCGTCTCGACTCGTATCTCTTCCGTCTCAGAATCAGTGAATTATTCAAGTTTGATAAGTTTTTGAACTTAATCTTAGTTCGTGATTAAAATCGAACATTAACATGAATTGGGGCCAGAAAGTTCTTGAGTGGCGACCGCGTACTGGAAGACGTAGCGTGGGTAGGCCTCCCACAAGATGGGCCGACGATCTATTGAGGTTCGCGGGAATCCGCTGGATGCAGACAGCGCAGGACCGGTCTTTTTGGCGAGGCTTGGGAGAGGCCTATGTCCAGCAGTGGACGTCCATGGGCTGATAAGAAGAAGAAGAAGGTATTAGCCACAAATCGAAGACGGTGGGAATGACACAATCAAAGTCAGAAGAAAGTTTTAAAACTAGATTTTTATTTATTAAAAAAACATTAAAAAAAATAAGAATCTGTATTAAATAAGGATCTTATTTAATTTAGTGTAATACATTACATCATTTTATGTTAAACACAAATGAAACGGTTACAGAATTTGCATTTATATTGTGCACGACAAAAAATACGTCTTTGAGACGTCTTTCCGTCTGCAGTCGCCAACAAAACAAACTGTGAATTTGAATTTGCCAACGAAACAACAAGCTGTGAGTTCATTATAAAGTTTAACATTTGATGGACGTTTTTTTAATAGCTTGCGCTGCTTTATTCTTCGTAATTTTTTTTGTAAGAAATTATTAGAGTTTGGACGTCTTAAACGGAAACCCGGGTTCCGTATAGTCAAGTTTTGCTCCTCAAATAAATAAGCTATAGCAGATATTATTATATCATACGATTTTATATCATTTTTAAAAACAAAGCGAAGCTATTCGTTTTCAGTTTTTATGGTCCTTTTTCCCTTTTCAGACACCCATATTTTATGAGTAAAATAAAAACAAAATATGTGGGTGTAAAATGTTTTTATTAAAAAAAGCTTCAAGTTTTTTTATCAGCTTCTACGGTGCGGTTTGATCATTTCGTGCTCTAACCCGGGAGACTTGAGAATGATATTATTTAAAACTTTCAGAACTCTTTTTTTACTACCCCGTTTCCTCTGGATTCCTCTGAATGTCGTAATTAAATTATTATTAATAACTAGTAGTCGAAATTCAACTGTAGTTAATTGAAATTATAAGTTTGAATATTATTATGGTTCTATTGTCAAAGACTATTAAACTTCTATAATCACAGATTTCGCCAAGACTAGACTATAGACAAATAATATTAAATACAAACAATATTAATCTATTCTCAATCTGACCACAGGCTTTAAGCAATAAAAAAAAGTTTATATGCGTGTGTGTTTCAAATACATGGTGGTGTGTGTAATGTTTGTTTATTGATTCCTCTTTCTCTATATTCTCTATAAGTTTGGAAAATTTCATATTCCTCCATCCGCGCAGTTTTCGTAAAAAGGGATACAAAGTTTTTGCTTCACGTATTAATTTAAAGATAAAAAGGATCGAAACTCACAGGCGTAAATATAAAAACTATCGAAAACTTATAATGAAATGAATACTATTTCTATCTCGTTACGTAATTCTTATTATATTTTGAAACTGATGTGAATTGGACTACGCTGATTGTTAGGGCTGGGTATTATTATGGCGTCTTTTAATAATTGCCAGGGCAGTCCACAGTACATCCTACCTATGCTTTCACGGTAATAACATTTACAAAATAGTCTATGGCAATGATATTATTGATGAATGACTCTGGTAAACAATGTAAAAATGGAAGAAAGAGACAAGTACGTTACTAAATATTTATTAAATACATTTTTTCTCGCTTTGGTAATACGATAATAGGGAATATTGTAGATGCTTGCTTTGAATTCAACTCAACAACATTCAACATTCAACATTATACATCACGCAACTTTTGAAAAAAGAATTTGATCCTTTTTTACGATTCTGAGTCGATTTAGAAGTCGAGTCGAGTCAAATCTAACAAGAACTTATTAAGAATCAGAAATATTTATCCAAAATTAGAGTTCACGAATGCTATGGAAAAATAACTGCGGGAAATGTCAGATCCTATTGTTATATGTACCTACTAGTGGTCCCGCAGTAGTCGAAATTCGACTATCATTAATTGAAATTATAAGTTTGGACATTATCATGGTTTTATTGTCAATACTTCTATAATCACAGTTATCGCCAAGGCTACACTTACACTATAGACAAATAATATTAATCTATTCTCTATAATAACAAAAGTTTGACAATAAACGCAGAGTGTACCTACCTACACATCGCATGTACGTGTTGTGTCAAATTCATGGTAGTGTGTATGTTTTTTTTATGCATAATTAAAAAAAAATACCTTCTGCACTCCTTCTCTATATTCTCTATAAGTGTGAGAAATCCCATATTCCTCCTTCCGCGAAATTTTCGTAAAAAGGGGTACAATGTTTCTGTTTCGCGTATTAATATATAAATGTATAATTTAAATTGTTAAAAAAGTTCAATGTTAAGTATATCTCGAATGATTGCACTGTCAGAAAAAG